TAACATTCACAATTCACAAAAGTACCCTTTTAACCTGATCATTGAGGAGAGAGAACTAAGTGTGCAAATTTGCAGTGTACACTAACGTACTGTATGAACTCAACGTGGATGAGTTAATATCTTTTTCGAAGATGAGATTTTAAAAGCTTAAACCCGAGTAAAACCCGGTCTTTGCGTCTGCTTAGACCCAAGTAAAGCTCAAGTCAAGACCCGGGTTTTGAATGGCCTTAAGTAAATTTCGAAAAAGTTTTATATTTGTACATTTAAAATCTTGGGAATTATTTGTAGTGTCAAATAAACATACTATAAAAATAATGTATCTACGGAAAGTTCGAATTTTCGAAATTTATATCTCCTTGTCACCGCTGATCTGCCATCAATCTGTCTGCTACATAGAGAAAGCTTTCAGAGCAGTCTCTAATTGGTCGAATTAGAGCCAATCCTGACTTGGGTTGTATATGAGCCCAACTCTGGGTTTCACTCGGGTTTAACCTTTTAAAATCTCATCTCTGGAAAAACCAGAATATTTTTTGTCAACTGAGGTTTTCAAAAATTCGACATAAAATATTCATATTCTGCCACTTCGAGAAAAATTCCTTAAATATAAAACAGCTTGCAAACAATTTATTGAACAAATACATGCGTTTATGTAAATACATGCGTTTCTGTAGATAAATAACAAAAGTCTGTAATCCTTAACATGCAAAGATAAAAGGTTTAAAGGGTACCATTGTTAATCGAAGATGCCCCTCTTTCACTTGAAGTTACGCTCAATTTTTTACAATTTGTTTTTTAAAAAATTTAACATTATTTTTATGAAATAGGTAGTAAAAGGCATAATTGTCTATTATTGTAATTGCCACACGTCTGTGGCCTTATTGCCCTTCTATATATAAACTTTGAGTGTTTGTCTGTCCGTGTGTATACAATAAACATCAAAAGCTTTTTAATAAAACTTTTTTAGTTAAGGGAAAGAGTGAAATTTTTAAGTATTTTTATTAGATGATATAATCATACTTAACATGCGTAATTTCAAGTTGACCCTCCAGTTATATATTGACATGTCCAATGTACCTTTGAAGCCTTTATTTCTACATCGTTTCTTAAGCAAAAAAGGCATGAGTCAATTTTGTAGAGAAACCGCAAATAAAAATAATCAGTTTTCATAAAAGGAAACATGGATATTTAATGCAATACTTGATCAGACAAAGCTTTTAAGGGTTTTGTTGTGAATCAGAATATAATTGATTTCTTTTCTTAATCTTTTAGTTTGGGTGAGTGGAATGCAATGCAATGTAGGATGTAGATTGCCTTAAGAAAGGGAAATGCAAGCAGATGTAATATTAAATACTCTTTGAAGGGCCCAGCGTTGCCCGTGGAAAAAAATAGAAAAAGAAAAACAATGTTGAAAAAAAATTTGGAAAAAAATATTTTTGAATTTTTTAGCCTAAGACACCCCCTGGCTACCCATGAGTGTCCTCAAAAAATTTCAGTCCAATCTGTTCAGCCGTTTGGCCGGCTATCGGTGACAAATACGAATGTCTTGTTTTCTTCTTTAGAATAACCCCCCCCCCCTTTGTGTTGTACCTCACATGTCCCTAGGGAAGGTTTCTAGATGATCAACATTTTTAAATTTGCTCCAACAAAATTTGATTTAAATTAAATATTGAAAATCTTTGTAATATTTTTATAAAATCCTCAAACTTTTTTTCGTTTTGTTTTACAATGTTTACAAAGAGAAAATGTTCACAGTTGAAATAGTAGGCCTAGTTAAGTAAAAAAACATGTTATTTATAAATATTGTTTTCTTTTATAAATGAGTTAACTTTTTTATAAAAACTCTTTGTGTATTTCTATTCTGCAGCATTACTGAAGAAAAAACAATCAAACAAATTGTTTTCTAAAAAAGTATACAATCAGATAAAGTAAGGATGAGATGCTTTTTCGGAAAGAACCATCTTATTATCTAAATAATAAAACAAGACATTCGTATATATGTTGCCTATAGTCGGCCAAACGGCTGGACCGATTGGGCTGAAATTTGTTGTGGACACTCATGGGTGGCCTGGGGTGTTATAGGCTAAAAAAATCAATTTTTTTCACTGGGCAGCTGAAGGAGCTAGTTATAGAATAAAACTTAAAGGAATGTCACATTTTTAGTTTTAAACCCCCTTAAAAAAAAACATAGACTGACGATATCTCTTGAACAATTCTTATTTGAGGTCTCTTCTTTTAAACATTACCTTGAAATTTCTATCTTTCTTTTTTATGTTTTTTTCAACTTGTTACATACAACATACTAAAATTCCATATTCTGACTGAAACGACCTTTATTATCCTACTCAAACTGTTCACACTGATTCAACCAGCCTACATTTTGTGCATAATACTATCGGAGACAATTTTACGGTAGCCTAGACCTTACAGAACGTGTTCAAGGCAAAACCAGATCAAAATTTTCCCGTCAATTGCCAAATTTATGAAGTTTAGAATCTTGCTAAAAATCTAAATTTGGCAAAAAAGAAGCCATAAAAAATTGACTCATTCTTTGATGCTTTAAAGGGACTGTACGTTTAATTTGAAATATTAAATAATATAGAAATAAGTGGTTCACAACGGTACCTTCAAAAGCGTTGTCAGGATGTTTGTAACTTTTTTAAATTATTATTTTCAATAGATTGGGGTTTCTCCACAAAAGTGACTTGCGTATTATTTCTCAAGGGAAACCTATAGGAATTTTCATAATTTACCCTAGAAAAACGACAATATCTTCCACATATTTAATCAGATTAAGGTTTTTAGTGTAGTGTTGTGAATCTGGAATTGCCATATGTTCAGAGGGATGGTCAGTTGAAATTACGCTTATAGTCCCTTTGAACATTTTTTATCAGACATCAGGAATATATATACGTCTGAAAGATGAAACGTCGATAGAAGATATAAAATATCTAAAATCGATCACAATTATCAATAATCTTTCCTTATCATGCAAATTTTCTTTATTATTACACTATTTCAGTCTTTTTTCAATCTATCTATATACACCTATATATACTTTGCTTGTCTGTTTGTATCCAATAAACGTCAAAACGGCTACACCGATCGGGCCCAAATTTTAAGAGAAAGCTTATTGATGATCGAATTTTCAAAAATTAGCTTCAAACAAAATTCGAATTTTGAAATTTTGAAAATCCACGAATTTATTTGTTTTTATTTTACAATGTATACAAAGAGAATATTGAAATAGAAGTTGGGCGCGAAAAGCCTAGTATATTTACATTCATGAACAAATTCATTCTCCGACAAATTAATTGAGTTCTTTTTTTTTGTTCTCAGTTAAAATAACTTTTTTTTCACATCAATCGGAAATAAGGAAGAAGTTTTTTTGGTTGAAAAGTAAAAACACTATTTTTCAATTTACAAACAAGAAGGAGAAAGAAATTTTGTCTAGACTCAGTTACATTAAAGGATTTTTTAAACTTTGTATCAAAAGAACTAGTTGTGTTTAAAAGCTAAATTGTGTGAATTTAGCTTAAATCATCAAACATTATCATACAAATTTTTGCACCAGTGTTGATTTTTTCGTGGATTTTAAAAAATTCAAGGCAAAGAAGATGGTTGGCCTCTGGAAATGGGTTTTTGTTCCACAAATTACTTTCCTAGACTGTATTTATACTTTATTGACAGGTTTAGTACACAAATATTTTCCTAGGGAAAAGAAACTTAACAGTTTTAAAATTAACACATTATTGTTGAAAAATAAGATTTTTACATTAAAATATTTGTAAAAGTTGAAAAACATTCAACAAAATATTTTGATTGAAATCATTAAAGAATTTCCCCTCAAAATCCCTTATATTTCAATAATGAAAATAACTTTTTAACAAACTATCCTCTCTACAACAGCATAGCCCCTAAATCAATCAAACAGAATTTCGTTGTACAGTGGATTTTGAATACAAATAAACAGGAAGTTGAGACCTTTTTTTCAAAAGATATTTCATCAAAATTATATGTTTGTTTTATATCGAAAAGAAATTCTTTATTGCTGTAACCTTAATACTAATTACAGTACATTTGTAAGCAATATGTTTCAATGCTTCTTCCTCTTTTCTATTTCTTGGCTGACTCGCATTCCTCGCATTGTGATGAACAAATGTCAAATCAAAAATGAGATTATAGCGCAATGTCTGCGCAACTCCAGCAGACAAACACTTTTGCCAAACAACTATTTTTAGATAAAAAACGTCGATTATTTCTTTTTCCAAGCGCACGAATTATTATTTTTTTTCTAAAATATATAAAAAAATTGCATCTTAATTGTAAAATCAAGATTTAATTCATTTTAAAAAATTTGAGATTTTGGACAACAATCAAAAAACTAAAAATACTTATTTGAGACCCCTGGCATATTATTTTTTGTTATACCCTAAATTCAAAGTTTTATTTAAAGTAAAACTACAGCTAGGGAAAATAACATTTACTAAAAGTGTACAGACCAAACAACCACCACCTCCTTTACTAAATTTATATCATCCATAATACTTTCCTAGAATCATGTGAGATCCCACAAAAAATTTGGACGGATCTGTCTAGCCGTTTTTACGTTTATTGGATACAAACAGACGATCAAACAAACAAGCAAAGTATACATATATAGAGATGTGAACCGTGTAGGTATAGGTACTATATCAACGGTGTACGGTTTATCCTATATTAGATATGAATCCTGTAGGTATTATATCAACGGTGTACGGTTTATCCTATATATAGATATGAATCGTGTAGTACTATATCAACGGTGTACGGTTTATCCTATATATAGATATTAATCCTGTAGGTTCTATATCAACGGTGTACGGTTTATCCTATATATTAGATATGAATCCTGTAGGTACTATATCAACGGTGTACGGTTTATCCTATATATAGATATGAATCGTGTAGGTACTATATCAACGGTGTACGGTTTATCCTATATAAAGATATGAATCCTGTAGGTTCTATATCAACGGTGTACGGTTTATCCTATATATAGATATGAATCCTGTAGGTTCTATATCAACGGTGTACGGTTTATCCTGACTGGTCTGGGTCCTCTTCTGGTTCTTATTCTGCTCAACTGGAAAATATTTATCGGAGTCAAGTAAGAATTATTATTTTTTCTCAAAAAAAAACGTTAAATATTTTGTTTTTGTTTTGCTAAAGTATAGAACGTAGTGGATAGAAAGTTTTTATTTACGATGCTAAATTTTGTTTTCACAATTTATGTGAAAAATAAAATATATTAGATTTTAGATTTAGGTTTTTACAAAAGCAGCAACGATGTTTCAAAATTTGTAAACTGTAGTCAGTAAACACCAATATGTTGAAAATTATATTCTCTCAGTGTGAAAAGTTGTTTAATATCATCATCAAAAATACAATAATAATTTTGTATTTAGAAAACACGCCGGGGAATTATTTTTAGTCCCATGGGCAACATAACTTCTAATTTTCTTCATCTCCTTCATTTTTTACAAGAAAACTTATCTTACAATATGTTTCATGGAAATCTTAACTGTATGAAAATGTACTGATAAGCACATTTAGTTTGTAATAGCAAACAACCGTACGCCAGGGGTCAATATAATTCCCCAAAAAGCTGATTTTCTCGATCCCAAAATAATTTTTTAAAAAAAATGCCCCCAATTTTTAAAAAAATGCCCCCAATTTTTTTTTAATTATCATTTAAAAAAAATTTGCCCCCAGTTCTTTCAAATTTGTCAATCCCAAATGGGATTGAAAAAGGAATTATATTGACCCCTGCCGTACGCATTCTAAATTATGAAAATTTTTCCAAAAATATGGCTAGGGTTTCAAACGCAAGTGGATTTTACTTCGACTAGAAACCCTAGTCATAGCAGAATATTAGGAATATTAGGATATCTCATATCTTTTCAGTATTAACATTCTGATAATTATTTCGATTAAATTTTCCCTGCATTTTCATCTAGTCTCCAACAAACCGATGTAAAACAGTCCAGAATTATTTACACAACATCTTTGCCATCGATCAGCATATAAAAAGTTTCCTAGGTTTTGAAATTTAATAATCGAAAAAAAATTTCAGTGCGATTCATATTAGTCATGTCTTAGATTTTTTTATTATAGCTGTAAATATCGTTCTATGTAGAAATTTAACTGTAAATAATTTTAGAAATTTACATTTTTAAGAAATATTGAACAAAATTGTGGATTAAGCTTATCTTATAAAAGGCCTTTTTATACACTTTAAACTATGCATACATTTTTAGAGTTTTAAACATATTTGAAAAAACACAAAATATTAGATAACTTAGATTTTAGCAGTCAAATTTTCCTAATAGCTCAAATATAATAGAAACGTTAGTATTATACATATCAAAAATTAACTGGCAAAGAAACTTTTTTTTGAAAAATGTTTTTTATAAAATAATGTTTTTTCCAGTGACAATTTTAGCTTTCAAGTTGCCACTTTTGCACTAAAAATCTCCCGTATTTTTCTAAAGCAATGATTGATTTCCAAAAATATTTTAACCAACATTTCTTTTTTACTTTTTTTATTTTCCACTTGTCGAAAATCTTCTCCATCTTAAGTAAGATGGTACAAAAAATTGGTCCAAATACCTCAGCAATTTTTATGTTTATTGGACACAAACATACAAACATACAAACATACAAACACACAAACATACAAACAGTTTGAGCTCTCAAGAAAGGTGTTGGATACTTTCTCAAAGGCTTTCTCTCAAAGACGACTTTCCAAGAAACAATTTTCCAAGCGGCAAAGGTTAGTTTAGGCCCTCTGAGGCGCCGCAGCTCAGGCTGCAATGGGGGCCGAACGCTGGGGCTATGATGGGCTAGGGGGCCGAGCGCCGCGGCTAGAACGAGCTGGGGGTTGCAGCTAGGACAGATTTGGGAAGTTGACACATGGGAAAAATCCTATAGGAAAGTACCTAACATTCTCAAGGAAAGGGGACCTTTTTGATAAGTACTTCAGTCTTTTTATTAAAAAAGTAATCATAATAAATAATTTATGATTCTTGCTGTGAGACTTATGCAATAGTATTCAGTGTTAAATATTTATTACATGAATAAAGTAATTGATTTTTTGCCACAAGCTTAAATTTTCTAATCCCTTATCTTTGCAATCTGATGGTGTAAATCCTTTTATGTTAAACTTAGATTATTTGATCTAACAGGCTTTAAACCTTAAAATATGAAAGGTCTACGATATTGGATTATAAAGATATAGGGATTAGAAAATGGGAATTTGTGGTAAAAACTCAATTCCTTTATTATATTGGGTTTAAGTAAAAAAAAGGATGTTGTCTTACTTAAAATTAAGCTTACCTCAAATTTCAAATATTATTATTAAGATGAGTAGTTTAATTTCACATGAGGAATTTAAGAATGTCTTGCATACCCATACTTACTTCAATCATTAGAAAATACCCAGATTTTATAACATTTCAGAACTTTTCTACATTTATATTTTGGGAAATAGAAAATACAGAAGTAGAAAAAACCATAAGAATTTTGGAGCTTTAAATCCTTTCAAACTTTGTCGGTGAAAATTGTTATGACCAATAGGATTGTATTTGGTCTAAAGAGGGCTTCTGCTGACAGCAAAATACTCTTGCATAACCCTTTTATTTCAATACCTGAAAATAGTTTTGATTTCACATATTTGGTTCACAAAAACTTCTAAAATGGTAATTTTTCACAAGTATTTTTTAGTTTTTCAACAAACAATTATTTTGTACTTATATATTAGTGCTCATGGTACACATTGCAATGGGAAAAATTACCCTGTGCATCTATTTTCACAAATCCGTGGGCACCTTACTGTACCAGAGTTCATTGGGTCATCGAAACACCTAGCTAAGAACACCGAAATCCTCAAAAACGTTTTATGATGCCTGGATTACTGTGTAAAAGTCTTTTAATTTATTTGTATATGATTTTGTTTATAAAGAAGACACTTCGAAAAATGCTTCAACTCAGAACTTAATTAGGTAATGATATATGGTTGGCACTCATTGCAAAATGATTGAATTCTGAGCATGCATCTTCTGTAATAAACTTTTGGTTTGGAGGCCCTGTTGAACTGTAAACTGTACACTGTACAGGTACTGCTATGTTTAACTATAAACTGTACAGGTACAGCCATGTACGGTCGAGTAACCGAGCCAGGTACGAGGTTAAGCTGGCCTCTATCCTCCTATACATTGTCCTCGTGTTCCTAGTTTGCAACTTTCCAAGGAAACATTCAAAAAAGAATTAAAAGAATTTATGTCTTCATTTAAAAGAGTTCTCCACTATAATGCCTTTTATTTATTTATGTACGGATATCTTACTTAGACCCTTAACTTATTCTATGCAAAAATTCAACAACTTTTTGCGAAAAAAAAGTAAAAAGAGAACAAGGAAAGGTTTTGCAAATTTTGCAAAACTTCTCTATTATCATTTACAAAATGGAACCAATTGAATTTCTTGCAAAACTCGTTTAATTAAGAAGTTATATTAAAAATTAGTTATGTAAAATATATACTTCTCTTCTCATTATTCAATAAAAGATATTTTTTTTAATTAGTCCTTCTTCTTTAGGAATTGTTCATAAAACCAAGATTCTTTTCAAATCTTGGCTGACAAAACTTTTGTACTGAAAAACGAATTCGGAAATATGAAGTTGATAAACAGAAAACAATGGAATAGTCAGACAATATTATGGCAATGCTTTATTGTAGAAAATGTTGTGACAAAGTTAATTGTTTTACAAGACACTAGTTATATCACTAATTTAGTGAAATGGGTCTGTTTTCAGTGCACAATTATCATGCTCATCTGACTGTTTTTGTTGGTTATCACTAGTCAATGATTTTAGACGTGGTTTATAAATTTAACCGAGTGATTTTGATTTTATGAAAACGTTTTTTTAAATTCCTTTGAAATCCTAGGCCTCTGATCTAGATTCTCGTTTGATAAAAAGTATTATGAAATCTTTAAGTGATTTTATTGGTTTTATACGTCTTATATAGGGAGGGGAGGAGGTTTTTTTAAATAGTTATTTTCCTTTTTTATCATTTGGAAAAAAATTCTTTTCGTAAACGGGACATTGCCCCGTCATGGCTTTCCATTGAATTCCAAACTTTTTCACAGACTATCAGGATGGGGGGAATAAAAAAAGGGGGTTCAGACAATTTAACCCCCTCAGATTAAATATAGGTGAGAAAGTCACAGGAAAAAAAGTATATGGAAAAAAACCTGGAAAAAAAAACCTTTGGTAAAAAATTTCCAATTTTCTGACAAAATGTCACTGGAAATAAAGTCCTGAGTTTTAAATTCCTGTGACTTTTTTCCTAAAATAATATGGGGTCAAGTTTTAGACGTTTTAATAAAAATTACTTTTCTTATATGCAACTGCATATTTTATGCGACCAGGGGTGTTTTTAATATCCCTTTTTTCTATGGTTGTAAACATCCTCTGTTCAGATGCATTTTCCACCATAAGAGAATTTTTTTCCAACAGACTTTTTTGTATCAAAATATAAAACTTTATTTCCGAAAACTTTTTTCAGAGAAATTTGTTTAATGCCTACCCTGAGATTAAGCCCTTGTTTTTTAACATATGAATAAATTAATTAAAATTAATGAATTTGAATATTTTGAATCTGTATCCAGAATTCTGCTGAATTTCTATGAGTTTGTTCTGGAGGAGGAAATCACAAGGTAAATTGAAACCAGGATACTATTGCTAGTATGTAGGGATACTATTGCTAGTATGTAGGGATGCTACTGCTANATATTGTTTAAATTCTAGGTGTGGGGACCGTTCCCTAGTTTCAAACTGGTTTATTGTAAATATTGTAGGTTTAGGGACCATTTCCTAGTTCAAAACTGGTTTATTGTTTAAATTATAGGTGTGGGGACCATATCCTAGTTCCAAACTGGTTTATTGTTTAAATTCTAGGTGCAGGGACCATTTCCTAGTTCCAAACTGGTTTATTGTAAATATTGTAGGTGTGGGGGACCATTTCCTAGTTCCAAACTGATTTATTGTAAATATTGTAGGTGTGGGGACCATTTCCTAGTTCCAAACTGATTTATTGTAAATATTGTAGGTGTGGGGACCATTTCCTAGTTCCAAACTAATTTATTGTAAATATTGTAGGTGTGGAGACCATTTCCTAGTTCCAAACTAATTTATTGTAAATAAGGATTCCAAACTGGTTTATTGTAAATATTGTAGGTGTGGGGACCGTATAAGGGTTCCAAACTGGTTTATTGTAAATATTGTAGGTGCGGGGACCGTATACGGGTTCCAAACTGGTTTATTTGCTTGACCAGCCTAAACCATGTGTTGCTGACCTTCAGCTCCTCTGCTAACTTCTTCATCTACATCTCCTTTAAGGACAAGTAGGTTTACACACTCTGTCTCTACTGCAGTAACTTAAGCTGTAATCGAAAGGAAAAAGTGTTATAGTGAAAATAAACTGCTATTCCGAAATAAATATCTGAATCTTTAAAAACAAAATGGAGGAGACAAGGCGTTAAGAACCGAAGGTCGAACTAAAAATAGTTTTAAATAGAAATAAACCATTTGGCTACGAAATTCTCAAGTTTACAGCTGCAAGGAACTGTGAATATGAGAAAGAGTAAATTTCACACAATCATCTTTGAAGTTTTATACTTTGCTTGTAACCCCTTAGCATGAAAGTTACTCAAAACTTGTAATAAATATAGCTGTAAGTTTATTTCCTTCAAATAAAAGAGATAATCTTCTAATCAACATACTAATAATGAAATATTATTTTTTTAATTGATCCTGTCTGCTTTAGTACTTTCTGTTGCTTAAAATCCAGGGAAGAACAAGGACCAGAAAGCTTCAACATGGTAAATATTTTAAAAGAAAGATGAAAACACGACACTAATGGCAATTTTGGAATTGGAAATACCATTTTTGATCAGGCATTAGACCTAGAGATGGGCGCGCTTGGCTTTTTTCATTTCGTTCGTTCATCGTTCGTGAATGACCCATTTCGTTAGTTTTTTTTCAACTGTTCAAAAAACTTGTTTTCGTTTAATCTTAAAATTATCGTTAATTTTCCATTGTTTTCTCACTGAATGATTGTTCAGTAAAATTGTTTGTTCAATAAAATTGTTGGTTTAATAAAAAAAAACATTTTAAAAAGTTTGTTCAAAAAATTGTATTTTACGTAAAAAAAACTATAGTTTTTTTCAAAAGTTTGGTACAAAAACTAGCTCGTTCAGTAAAAAAACAATAAGTGTTTTTAAATTATTTGGAAAATTTGTTGGTTCAGTAAAAAAACTATGGTTTTTTTCTAGTTCATTCAAATTATTTTAAATCATTCGATTTTGTTTTTAACGTTCCTTTTTAAAAACGATAATTTTACATTTCTCTGAATAATCCATTTCGTTCCCCAATAGTTCGTTTTATCTGAACGACGTGACACCCTTTTGCATGAAAAATTTTCGTTCGTTAAAAAACGATGCCCATCTCTTATTAGACCGTTCAACAGATCAACTGTTTTAAATCAATCCAAAAGTTGTCAACTCTGATCAATTGAAAACATTATTAAGCTAAAGTATAGAAAATGCCATGGTTAAATATTTTTTTTAAATAAAGTAATCTCGAAACTGTATATCGATTAGATGTAACCTTAGTAAATTTATCCCTAAAATATAAAATAAAATTTCAAAATGGCATCATTATATTGGAGTGCACTGACAGGATTATTAGATATAAAATCCGTATTTAAGGTTGTTGTTAATGCAGAGAATGCTGTTGAAGTTTACCAAGATATTACCCCAACTGTTATAAGGAACGGAATACTGCTGATTTAAGTATATCAGTAACGAGTTTAAAAGTCGTCTTTAATCTTAAATTTTCTGAAATATTTAAGCGGTGGAATACCGTGGAAAGAATCATATTCAGGGTGTCCCAACAAACATGGGAAGTAAATGACAAAGTAACGTCTGTTAGAAGAATATATTTTATGCTGTTTTGTTGATTTGCAAAACGTTGGTAACATTAATCAGCAAGATTAACAGTAAAGAGGATCAACAGCTGAAAACCATGGTTAAATTGTCTTCTAAGCGTGGTAAAGTGATCGAAGACGACCGAATATATATATCTATTTGTAAACAGTAATTTCTAATTTATTAAGTACAACAATATGCAATAAAACATAAACAAACAAATTACAAACTCTAGGTTCTCAGTAAAGGTATCTCCAACTAAATCAAAAAATTATTTTCAAAGACGACATCAAAATCGTCACTTAATTTCCATGTTTATTGGGACAACCATATCTACGTCTTAACAAAAGTACAAAGAAAACCAGAAAAATCTGGAATAAGAAGACGACTTTAAGAATCAAGTTATAACTTAAAAAGTTCAAATAAGCCCCAACCACAGCAATTGGTCAGCGTAAATAGACCCATTTAACTAAATTAGTCAACTAATTAGTGTCAGGCTAAATTATTTGCTCTGTAACAAAATCAAATACACTAAGTATTGCTATAATTTCGTCTTCATATTCCATTGTTTTATGGTAATCACTGTATTTGAACTGTAAAACAGAGCAAAGTCTTTATGTCATTATTTTGCTTGTTTTTGGTAGGAATTTACAAAACTTCTGAAACCAATATAAACAATATGGAGCTCCAATTTTCCGACCTTGCGTTTATTATGGGGTTATTTTCAAGGATTACAATGTAAAGTGACTTGAAACTTAAAGATTATGACATGTAATCCCAAGTTTAATCAAATATAGTCATAAAATAGCTGATTAGATCATTTGGCTAAGAAAGACACAATTTTACAGTTGCGAGGAATCATTATTAATTTTGTACAGTCGTCTCTGAAGTTTCATCCTTTGTGAGTAACTAGGGTTTCCACCGGAATTCCGGGTTACGGTTTACGTACGGAAATGATCCGGAAATTTTTTCCATTTCCATTATGGAAAAGGTTCCGGAAAACCGGAATTCCGGAACGATTTTTTTTCCGTAAAACGGATGGAAATTTTACGGTTTCCATTCCGTAAAACGGAATTATCCCAGAATTCCGGTTTACGCAAGAAATTTCCGGATCATTCCATTTCCAAAATGGAAATTTTTTTCCGGAAAAATGGAAACCCTATGAGTAACCCTGTACATAAGTTGTTCCCATTTATTAGATGAAGTTTTTTAAGATTACTTTTGATTTCTATCAAATAAAAAGGAATACATTTCTAAATCAGTTTTAAACTCATCTTTATGAAGAAAATTATTCCAGTAAATTTAGTATGTACGACATGGAAGATCAAAGATCAGAGAATACAAGAGATCTCAGAGATATGGTGAACCAGGAATAGATGTGAGGGATATGGTGAACCAGGAATAGATCTATGGGATATGGTGAACCAGGAATAGATCTGAGAGATATGGTGAACCAGGAATAGATCTATGGGATATGGTGAACCAGGAATAGATCTATGGGATATGGTGAACCAGGAATAGATCTGAGGGATATGGTGAACCAGGAATAGATCTGAGGAATATTGTGAACCAGGAATAGATCTGAGGAATATTGTGAACCAGGAATAGATCTGAGGGATATTGTGAACCAGGAATAGATCTAATGAATATTGTGATTCAGATTAAGCGATCAGGATTAAGTTTTCAGCTCGGGTTTATAACGATATCTTTACTATCTTGTGTCGGGCTCGCGGAATCCCACATTAAGAGAGAATAGCACACTAAAGGAAACTTTTTAGAGTCTAAGCATTTCTAAAGATTTTAATCTGAGCTGAGAAATTTTATTTCTTTTTAAGTCAACAAAGTGAGCTAAATTTTAAACTTTAGAAAGGTAATTTTGGGATTTAATTAGTTTTAGAACTCAATAGCAACGTCATGTTGTGGATAAAAATAAACTATAAGTTATAACATTTCTGTATAATAAAAAACCATATTGTTAAATGTGATGTATTTGGCTGTATTTGCTGTGATATATAAATGTATACATATGTAATGTTTCATATAAAAGTATTTGTTACAGATATATATTTTGTTATACGTGAAGAAAAATAAAAATCAAAGAAAAAAAGTAAAAAATTCCAGAAAAGTAAACTTTTGAACAAAATTCAGATTTTAGATTTTAGATTTTAAATTAAATACACCATTAGTAAACCCACTGATTAAAATATATTATCTACATATATATAATAGTAATCTCTGTTCGTCCGTCTCTTTATTTAGATATTCGATCAAAGTCATGAACAAGTTGAGAAAGTGAAGAGAAAGTGAAGAGAAAGTGAAGAGAAAGTGAAGAGAAAGTGAAGAGAAAGTGAAGAGAAAGTGGAGAGAAAGTGAAGTTTCCAGGAAAAGATGGTGTTCTCAACCAAGACTTTAACTAAGTTTACTAGTTTTGGAACCCAGCTTTGTCTGGAATATCAGTAAACAAACTAAAAACATTCCAGAGGTTTAACGAGTTCCACAGTCAAAAATTTAAGGCAAATCGGTCAAGGGATTCTTGATTTAAGATCTGACACCCAGACAATCAATCAATCAAATACCTGGACAAAAACAGAGATTACTACTTTAAAAAGGGAAGGACAAAATGTTTCCAATATTTTCTAATTTTTTTTGTATCTGAGATTTGTTTCTATCTTTGCAAAATCTTTAAGTAAATAATTTAAATTATTAAATCAACTTAAACTTTAAACTTTCAGATCGGTGTTAGAAAGATTTTCTGTCGTCATTTAGATCTCATTCGCTGTGGGTAACTATGTATATTAAATATAAAAAATCTCTAAATATAAAATTGTTATGAACCTTTCTACTCAAAAATATTTTGTTTAACGATTACCTGCAACTTATATCAAATGTGATTGTGATTTTGTGAAAAGATGTATCATGATATTTATCAAAAATCTATGTTTAATGTATGTTTAACGTATACAATGTACTATGTACAATATATGGTTATAATAACTGTTGTTTAATATATCTTTAATAAAAAAAATGTTAAGATCTACTTTTACAAACCAGAAGAGAAACAAATTAGAAATCAATTTTCAGAATAATTCATAAAAAACATTTCCTTTTATCTGTTTTGCAATTTTTTTGTCCTTTTATTCATCTTTTTTTTAATTTCTGGAAGGGGGAGGGGATCTGAAAGCTATAGTTTATCATATATACAACTAGCTAAAGTGCCCGGCGTTGCCCGTGAATAAAAAAAAACGTGTCGAACTTTGAATTGTGGGTTTCCTCAAAAAAAAAATTTAGGCAATTTGGTTCTGCCGTTCGACCAACTATAGCTAACATATAAATATATGTAATATAAAAATATATATGAGCGAAAAGTTTTATTTTTTGGAAATTATTTAGTCAGAGAGTAGAGAATATATAGATAAATGGCTGAAATGTTCAGTCTCTTTGAGTCTGGAAAAGCATTTGATGTGAAATAAATGTTTAGACTTTACTTGAGATGCATTTATCAAATTTACATTTTATTTGAAATTAGATTTCCTGTTCCACCAGAGCTAACCCTCCTTGGCTCTAATAATCTAATAATGGGACCATCTCCATGCATTTTTTTCACAGTTCCCAATAAATTCTTATAAAGAAATGGAAATGAATATATCGCAATGTTTTCACAATTCCCAAAAACTAAGAAGGAGTACATATCGGGCTAATAGAACTTTTTCTGCATAAGAGACCCCAGGGCCAGAGCACCCTAAACTAAGCTTTTGGTTCATACTGTAGTAATTTGAAGTACATTGACCAAAGGAATATTAGTGGGTTTTAGTGAGGAGTGAGAGAGGATGTCAGGGACAACAGAACTAACCTTCAAGGAATGGAATTGAATTACAAATACATGCAAAGAAATGACTTGCAAAGAAAAAAAGACTAGAAGATAAATTGAAAAGGCAGGGACTAAGGCCCATTGCTCCCCTCACCCTCCCCGTGCCATCCATTTTAATTCAATAAATTTTGATACACTGAAGATAAAAACTCACGTAACTTTTTCTGTGAAAAATTAAATTTGTTTAGGTTCAGATATCCGTGGGAAAATGTTTATTTTTTATGTCCTAAAAGAAATTATTCTCAAGATAACAGTTTTTTTGAGAATAAAACACTCTATTAATTTTCTACTCTTTGTAATAGCTATTCATAAAAGACGTGACAGAGTGAAATTTGTAAATCATAACATTCATTAAAGTATATTATGTAATATAATAGAAGCAAATTCAAAAGTAAATAAAGAGATCTTATAAAAGAAAACAAAAAGTTTGAATGTATTTTTAAAGTAAAACTTGCTAAAGAAGAAAATAGTATTTAGCAAATTTGAATAATTTATATTGTTTACTGTAGTGAATAGTAAACTTTTACATTGTTTTAATTATTTACAACATAATTATTTTTAATGTGTAACTTTTTTACGTTAATTTTCTGTGAACCAGAAGGGTTTTAATTGTTATATAAAAAGGCGACAACGTTTATGATCAAACTATGATTTTTTATAGATTAAATCATACTGTGACATATCAAAGGTTAACACCATAGAGGAAGGAAAGAATAGAAAAGGGGAGGAAAGGGTGGATAGAGGGAGGATAGGGTGGATAGAGGGAGGAAAGGGTGGATAGAGGGAGGACAGGGTGGATAGAGGGAGGAAAGGATGGATATAGGGAGGAAAGGATGGATATAGGGAGGAAAGGATGGATATAGGGAGGAAAGGATGGATAGAGGGAGGAAAGGATGGATAGAAGAGAGAGGAAAGGATGGATAGAGGGAGGAAAGGTGGATAGAGGGCGGAAAAGATGGATTGTGGAAGGAAAGGATGGATAGAGAGAGGAAAGAATGGATAGAGGGAGGAAAGGATGGATAGAGGGAGGAAAGGATGGATAGAGGGAGGAAAAGATGGATTGTGGAAGTAAAGGATGGATAGAGGGAGTAAAGGATGGATAGAAGAGAGAGGAAAGGAAGGATGAATGAAAGAATGAAAAACTAACAAACCAGGGGCATGTGTAAACGAGCAAAACATTAAAGGTATAGACAAATTGTACATTGTTGATTAGAAAAATGCTTTAAACAATGATTTAAGGGAAAGTTGTTAATCCCTGCAGAGAATGGTTGCTAATTATACTTTAACCGTTGCATTTACATCGGAAGTTAGTAATTTTATCAGATTTAAAATGATGCAGGGACAGGAGGGAGGGGATGGGAGGGATGAAAGGGATGGGAGGGATGGGAAGGATTAGAGGAATGGGAGGGATGAAAGGGATGAAAGGGATGGGAGGGATGGGAGGGTTGGGAGGGATGGGAGGGAAAATATATATTGATTGATATGGATAGGGTTAAATGAGGGGAAAAAAGTTGAAAACGAAGAAAAAGGAGAGAGAAGTTGGTGAAGAAGGAAAAATCAAAAAGTAGAATTTTCTTCTCTGGATTTTTCAATGATTTACCCAAAGATCTTGTTAAAATCTAAAAACAAGGAAATATTTATGAAAAACTGGCGGGAAATAGTAGATAAAATAAATCTCCAAACCTCGAAACTTATTTATCCTTCAAACAACCTCGTTCATATCTCCAAGCTCTGCTACATGTTTTTATACTTTATTTAAACTAACTTTACAGTTTATAAGTTTATAACACTCTATCATAAGCGTAAGTTGGATTTTTAAGGGAAGTCGTGTAATATAGAAAGTTAAAGATAAGAATTAAATGAGTCTTGTGTTGTTCATTCCATTTAGCATGGTTAAAGAACCCTCTTGTGGGTAAATAGTCTTGAAAACCCATTTCCCCCCCCCCCCCGAGATGTTAGGTATGTTTAGTTAGGGTTTAATATTCGCTAAATGGGGAAAAGAAATAATTTTCAGGGGGAAATAAATGAGTTTTTGGTTACCCCTCCACCTCCTCTTTCCATATCAGTGTTTCCTAATCATCTACAACACTACATTTAATTCCACTTTTTCATCCTATTTTCAAACATTTTTTTATTTCATGATACAGTTGAGTGTCGAATTCAAGATCGTCATTGTTAAGAAGTACTGCCTGATTTTAAATGTCATAATATGATTATGTCTGACAGAGTTTAGTTTAGGAAAACTAGGAAAGGCTGGCTAATGTCTATAATGATGAAGAGATGAATAGACGGACAAGTTTACTTTGTTTTTATTTAGGAATTTTCGTCACTCAATACCTCTTAGGATACCCTGGATCACAATAAAGAAATTGTTAAAAGGACTGTCAGCATATTTTCAGTTACCCTTGAAACTACACGACCAGCCGTTCCCTACCCTGGCATTAAACAAATGCAAAATTGTTTCAGAACTATAAAGTTGAAAAAGGAAGAAGTTTCAGGGTTCTAGTGTAAGCCGTTTTTAAGCTAACAAGAAAGCACAGGGGGATTGTAAACCCCCCCCCCCCTCCCATCGTGAAAGGGTTAAGACGACATGTTTTTCGCTTTATTTGGATATTTATTTACTACTTGGAAAAACACTCAACCTTAATCCGAGTATCTCTACTTAAAGAGAGTTTGCATTTTTTAAAATAATATCGTTACTAAATTTTATTTTACTAAATTGATGGAGATATTCTTATTTTTCTACGGCAGAAAGATATAAATTCCTTTCTTGTATCTCCTCCGTAAATCCACAAGTTACAAATATAAAAAGAAACCAAAATTACGAATTTTGAAAACAAGAATATTTCAAACATTTTTGCTCTGAACGATAACTTAATGCAGAATGATATCAATAACTATTTCACGAAATTGAAACTCACGGGAAATGAAATCGACAGTGTTTAAATTATTCCTTCAATTTCTTTAACAACTATTTGAGACTTAGAAACCAAAAATAAACTCGTAGTTAACTTTCTGTAAAATGTTTGAATTAATGATCTAGAAGAAGGGTGCTGATGAATTCATTCATGACCATTCATGGGCCGTGTAAGTACTTAGTAGTAGGCTTGGAGTAGGAATAATTGTATTTAACATGAAGAGATAAAACATACGTAGACGAATAAGAAATATTAAACATGATAACACTTGGAAAAAGGGATAGATGCAAAGGCCTAAACTTAAACCATGTCTGGAATGAAAAAGCAGAATAGGACTA